TTGTGGTGAACTCAAATGGGTTACTCGTCGACTCTGATAAAGTCGAAGCCATTATCAAGATGCCTCCTGCCAAAAATGTTACGGAAGTGCGGCGTGTCGTGGGTATGGCTTCCTGGTATTTGGTACCCAACTTTTCTTCTATTATTGCTCCCCTTACTGCACTAACTCGTAAAAACGTAAAGTTTGTTTGGGATGCTAAGTGCGACGAAGCGTTCAGGTCGATTCAGGAGAATCTTTTCAAAGCCCCAGTGTTATCCGCTTGTAATTTTGAGCTACCATTTATCGTTCAGTGTGATGTCTCCGATTATGGTTTGGGTGCTGTTCTTCCGCAGAATCAAGAGGGAGATGAGCACGTCATCTGCTATCTTAGTCGGCCCTTAACTAAAAACGAGAGATGGTATAGCGCGACCAAGAAGGAATGTCTAGATATTATTTTTGCCATTGAAAAGCTTCGTCCGTACATTGAAGGTACAAAGCTTACTGTCATAACCGATCATTACAGTTTGAAATGGTTGAACTCGATCAAAGAACCGGTGGGTCGCATTGCGCGGTGGGCCGTTCGTCACCCTTCTAAGAGTCTGCTAGACCCACCCAGTATGTATTAACAAGGTTTGAGTATTGTTGTGCTGTCTTTGAGAACCATCCAAGCCTCTAAATTGATAATCTGGCAGTGGGTTTTCCATCTCATCAAGAGCTGGGGCCTCATTCAATTACCAACAGCTTCAGGGTATTTCTGGATTATAAAATCAGCGGACCTTTAGTCCTACTTTTCTAAAAGATTATAGTTTTTTTAACCCTTCAGGCTTATAGTTTTAATTAGATTCTTACCTTTAAGTAAATGTTAATCACTTGGACATAAATTACACTCAAAATTATCACACATTTGTATATTTATTTAAAGCAGGTACCGACCATTTTTAGTATCTATACCCACCTTATCAGTTATTATTAGGTTTGTTCGGACTTAGTTAAGAACCAGTGCTGAACTGAACTGCGCTTGCGCATTTGTTCATACGGAACATTCATAAACAAATGCGCATGTGCAGTTCAATTCAGAACTGATTCTGAACTAATTCCGAACAAACCTATTATTTTTTGTTCACCAGTCGATTTTCGCCGGTGACCATTTACCTTTTCACTTTTCAGCTTGATTTTAAATGTATGAGGGCAGATTGATTACATTTATATTTATTGATCTGAATTGAGGCGTTTCATTGTACCCTTTGGACAATTTTAGTTTGACAGGTGCAGTACCGTTTAGCTGTTGAGTTTTCCTGTTTTTTTTTTTTTGGATATCGGAACTCCGTTCAACTGAAGGGCATAAAACAGGTGGCGCTTTTTATTTAATCCCCCACACCACTCTCCACTGTAAAAGTTAGTCGGCAGCTTTTAGAAACGGAGTTTCCTTTCTTGTCTTGTAGTACTGTGGCCACCTTGCTAGATTGTCACCTCTCTAAATCTTCATTCTCACTTTATTTGTTTATATTTTTTTATAACCTAACAACCAGGAGTAAGATGAAAATTGTACATCTAGACAGATTGATGAAATATCATGGGTATGAAGTCGATCGGGACGATCAACCTCAAGACCAGGCAGTGTCGCGATGCGCTTTCGCCATGGTGTGCAGGATCTAACTTGAAACCTAAAAAATACTGCCTTTTTCGGGCAAAGAGATAATCGCGTTTATTCTGGATTTTATGAGAATGGATTACGGATACCTATATAAAGGCCGGTATTAGTTAGTAGTTTTTAAGTTTAAGATTGCCTGTGATATGATTTAGACAATGATAATTGTTGAGAGTTGTATAGAGTTTAGTTGTTGAGTTAATTAGTGTCAGAGTGTGTAGTAACGTGGAATAAATTATTGTTGTGTTAATTGGACTTTGATTTTGAAATAAACGATCCCAAGATTTCTGTTACGCACCCCAGAGCCGTGACACTATTATACGAACTAATAACGATGAAATCTGGTTTGCACTTTTAGCAAACAAATACAGAAAAAATACATGAACAAGCTGTTCACTAAATCACTAACACCTTACTTTTTGAGGAGACGATACTGCGTATTCTGTGGATACTGAATTTTCTCATAAACCTGACACCGCTAAACGTCAACTGACTCAATTCCTGTTAACTGATAGGTCGGGTGGCCACCCAGTTATAATTATCGAAAAATAAACGGGAACGATAAAGACGAAAAATGTGTTCTCTCGAGGAGCTCTACTCTCTGATACGGGCACCAGGATAGAACACAACATAAACCTAAAGCTTTCTCAATTTTGAGCTTCAATTCTGCTCAAAACAGTCAAAACAGACGCATTGAGGATTTAAGAATTCTATTTTCTAACTAATATGAGCTTCAAAGAAGTCTCATTGCGTCCTCCAGACTCTTATATTTCGATTATAGATATACTTTTCCATTAAGACACACTTAAAAGACATTTCTCTATTGATGAACCTGAATTTGGCTTAAAACTTATATAACTGATTGAGATTTTGATTAAAAGGCGTCTCATATTAGATTTTCAACACCTATTTTTCTTTTTCAACGGTTCAGCAATTTTTAATTTCCAGTAGGTATAGATATTCTTTATGTGAGTTAAGAGATGCACTTCTCAGATAATCGCATTTCGCATTTTCAAAAAACGTATCGTCTCGATGTGATAAAGCATCTGATGTATATGTGGATAATGACTTAAAAAGACGGTAAAATGATTAAAATAGTTCAAATGAGAAAATCCTAAAAATTGGCAGGAGCCAGAACAGCCAGAGTCCTTTAAAGAACATTAAAATAAAATTACTTGAATTTGGTTGAGATTTTCACTCCTGTATTGGAGTTTGACCCTCTATAGACTTGTGTATGCACTCAGCATAATTATTGTTATTGTTATTAATGATACTAGTTCGATATGAACACCATAATGAAACGCGTGTAACGTTAAACCACGATGCGTCGGCCGATTGGTTTATATACGAAAGTTTCACTAATAAATTTCCTATCAAACGTCGTATCATTCAAAATTTAATCTACGATGGTCCAAATAGATTTGATTTGCTTTGAGGTAGCAACAACTTTTTAATTAAAATTCAAAATTTAGCAGATGCCTGTACTAAATAGTTGGCAAACGCGCTTGTTGATTTTTAAAATTTTGACTTCGGCAGCTTCAATATTGGAGTTCATTATTTTTGTGCCATAAATGTAGTTTTATAGTGGGAAATAATAGTAATATGAGTGATTCTGAGTCTGAAAGTGTCCCTTCGGATATCGAGACAGCATCAATGAGAAGGTTCTTCCATTAACTAACTTTCTTTTTGTATATTTTCTTTTGTAATTTGGATGTTTTTATGAATTCTTAAGAGCACTAGTACTATTATGAAGGACCTAATGATATTCAAATGACAATGCTAAATGTGTCATAATAACACCGACGTAGATTAGTAGGTACATCATGATTATGATATGTCTATAAGAACCACGCGCAAGTCGCAAGGGCTTTAAATACTCTTTTACTAGCATGTCATACGCTATTTTTTATCACGAATGCATCATAATCTCAAAAATGTTTTAAATGTGTCCATTCATTTTGATAAATACTAATTTAGGCAGGTAAATATCTAGGTAATAAAGGTAGATCAAACGTTTCTATAGCAAACCTTTGAAAAGACAGGCGCATCATAAACATCATTTTATATGCACGCTGCAGCGTGCGATAGTCGGTGATTATGATGCATGCGTAATAAAAAATAAATATTTGCATCGATTTTCCAATGAGATTAAAAAACCTGGAAATTCCTTATCAAATAGAATTTCAAAAGCTTTCAGACGATTACTTTCAGAGGAAAATTATTGTTAGGTACCTACCTAGTAGGATCCCAAAAAAAAAAATTAATCTTCTAACGGCTACAAACCTACTAAATTTGAAAAACATTCCTAATTAGCAAATCATTTTTTTATAGTTGTTATCCCGAACCCTAATGAAATTACCTTATTTTGTGAATCTTTTCACAAATGAAATGGCACTAAAGAAATCATAAAAATGCGTTTTTTACCCATATATCCTAATAATTCTTATAATTTTTTTACATTGATTGATTCGGACGGATTCTAGGTTAACCTTCAGACGGACACTTTTACCCAGTCTATCAGGAACACAGAAGATTTACATTATCGAGAATATTTCTGGTTTAGAAAGAATATTATAATATATCGGCTTTAGATTTTGCCTCCAACCAAAAACCTCCAACATATTTCTGCGAGCCTGATAGAAGTGTCCCCGTACGGGACCAGTTCAAGCGAGGAGCAACATCGAACCTCTGTGCCAAGCAGTGAACGATTTACTAACCTCGGTTCGTTATTTGATTCGTACATGTGCATATCGATACAAGGTACCCCTACTTTGAAGACGCGGAAAATTTCGCGAGTAGGTATATACCTACGAAGTTTGGCTAATTTGATTTTAGTGGTTTAGTGGTTATAGCAGCTTTTTGTCCTTTGCGGGCAAAGCAAGTTGGAGCTTGAAACTAGTGAAAATACATATCTATAGAAGGTAGTGGAGTTTTGGTACGATCTAACCTAAAAAATGTCCCATTTCCCATTTCTCGTAACAATCTATCAGGAATACAGAATACATCAGATAGTAAATGTTCCTATTTCAACACGTAGGTATAAAAAATAATACCGGACTTATGTTAGCCTGTTTAAAGTTTTCTCGTGAGCACATGTACACATGTACTTTTTTTCAAAGCTGTGAGTGATGGCGGATTATCTTCTCGATTTTTATCGAACGTTATAACTCACGAAATGTAAAAGCGATTAACCGTAGATTTTACTACGACTCCTTAACTCTTAACTATAAGTATATAGGTGAATTATTGTCAAATAATAAACTGGTACGACAATAAAAACTGACTAAACTACTTCTGACAAGAATATATCATCCTAGTGACATTTTGTCTAACTCATTTTCAAATCAAACCGCAAAACTCTCACTTGTAAATAATGCGAATACCACACAATATCAATCAAAGCACTTTACAAGTTTACACTCCATCGACCGATACTACAGATCTTATCGGAGAACAATCCAGAAAACTAGTTTCAGAAAACTTCGAATGGGACAAGAACCAATGCCATTCATTGAAAGAATATTGCGTTGCTGCCATAGCAAAATATTTCAAAGACAAACCTTTACTTAAAGAATTACCATGTGAAGATCTAGTTTATTTGCTCGATATTCTGCCTCTAGACCTTCCCCTTGAGTTTATTATTCCGTTAATTGACAACGAACATTATTGGGAAAGAAGATTTGTGGACGCTTTTAAATATAATTGGAGAACTAAGCCAGTAGGTTGGGATTGGAAAACTTTATACTTGGAAAGGCATTGTCAAAAAATGGTCGAGGAAGCCGAGCCTCAATATGAAGATGAACAAACTTTTGATGAGATTCTTGGTGACGTAAAAAAAACTGGTATTAAATATCAATTTTAATTTATGAATTTCAATTGTAGAATTATGCAATTTATATGTCAAAAGATTATTTGTGGAGCAGCTTCAAATGTGGAAACCACCATTAACTATGGAAAAAGAGGATATTCCAGAAATATGGCCGATACAACACATAAGCTTTATTCCTATCTTAAAAAAACTAAACAATCTTGAGGAATTTGATTTGATATTTGGTATGAAGAACGTCGGAGTAGATTTCGAGTGGAATATGTTTAAAGTTTCCCCAGCAGATTGTCAGAAACTAGGTAAAGCTTTCCAAGATCATCAGAATCTTAGAATTATTAGAATTCATAGAAGCAAATTAGAATTTCGACACTGTCAAGCACTAATTCAGGGCTTAGTAGGACACCACACTGTGCAGGTCTTAGATTTATCCCATTGTAAAATTGGAGACACAGGAGCTTTGTGTTGTGCTTATCTTTTAAAAACAGGCACCAACTTGAAAACATTGAATCTTTCCAACAATGATATTGGTAAAATTGGTAGTGAAGGCATAGGTTTTGCAATGCTACAAGGAAATTGCGAAATGCTTCACGAACTAAACTTGCGGTGCAATCCGTTGGGAACTGAAGGTGTTATGGGAATAATGAGAGCTGTAGTACGTTGTGCAATTCCCAAAATACTTTGCATAGCAGCTTGCTCATTCGAAGACGAAACTGCGGTAAAAATATGCCAAATGCTGAAACTTAATGATACACTTAAAGAATTAGATATTAGTGCTAATTGGATTGGAGATGATATAGGTGATATGCTAGTAGAATCACTAGAATCAAATGAAATTATCGAAAAACTGGATGTTCGTGAAACGGATATATCAAGTGAGCAATTAGGGAAAATTCAAGAAATATTGAAAAGGAATGTAGAGAGTGCGTTGTTGGCAAAATTAAATCCTAGTGGGGAAGATATATGATTTTTTATCATTGATGTTATTAGGTCTGTTACTGCAGAAATCATAAACCAGTCAGAGCGAATTTTATTGGTTGAAAACAGTCAGAAAGCTAGTTTTAACCAATGAAATTCACTCTGACTGGTTTGTGATTTCTGCAGAAACTTATATTGTAACTTATGCTTCCGCCATATTGTCCAGAAAATTCCCAAATAAATATTTTATCAATAATACAGGCTCGTTTTACACTCATCAATAATTATATTAGAAAGAATCGTGAAAGTTATATGGTAGGGATAACGTGTAGTTTGACCATAATGTGTTATTTTGTTTTTTATTTGCCTTTAGGGCTGTTTTGTTATCATTTTGTCCTAGTTAAGTTCTTTATTTCCCATTTAAACTCAAATTCTGACTTCTGATATTTATAACACATTTTTTTTTTGTGATTGAATGAAAATCGAACACCTAGTTCAACAGAGGAATTAAAAAAATCGACTTGTGGTGGCCAAGTGTTTCGAACTCCAGATCTATAGCTTCAGTATAGGTTCCAACTATGCATTTCTAAAGTATGAATTCAACTATTTTTGAAACACGAGAGTGAGATTCAAGTTATAACACACCAGTACCAGCAATACCCAGTTTTCGCTGCGGATCCAACAACAGACTACAGGCCAGTACCTACCATAATTAACTGCTGATTCTATAATAGGGACTCCTACTTAGGATCTTGTTCATTATATCTTGTAGAGGAGAAAAAGTGATATATTTTTTCAAATATCACTTGAAATAAAGTCAGGAAAAAATAAAAACAATTTTGCAAAATTTCGATTTTTTCTGTATATCTCCGGAGGTATTCGGAATATCCTAAATATTAAAGCGGCATTTTGTAAAGCATCAAAAGTCGTCCCATTAAAGTCATTTACTTTGTCCAAGTAACCAGTAAGTAAAAGTAGTCCAAATATCTAGCATCTTGACTTTGTGGCGGATGAAACAAAACAGTGCATAAATACTTTCGACCTGGTATAGCAACTTCAAGGGACAACAACCAAACCATATATGGGCAACCGTCCATATATGGGCAAGGTGGGCACCGCCACCCTGGAGAAAGAATGGAAAAATAAAAAATGCTTTTAATACAATATTTGAAAAGGCCACGACCTTGAAAATCTAAAAAAAAATCGCTTACGGCTGTTTTTTATTTTTGTCGCCCACCCTTACTTGGACACTACAAGCCGCCACTGAACCAAACTTAGTTCTGAATTCATTCATTTGTCTTAAGTTTATATTTAATGTCATTTCTTACCAATGCCATCACTCCACCAGTTCTTGGATTTGACGATAAACACTGTTCAATTCGGTAACCATCCATTTTCAACTCTGAATAGTCAATTCTTAATGTTAGGTGTGTTTCTGATAAAAACTACTAATTTGGATTTCCAGTCATTAATCAGAACATTAATATTGTCTTTGTTACTCAAAACCCTTGGCAATTAAAATAAACATGACCCGATTCAAAAGCGACATCCATATCTATTTGCTATTAATTGAACTTATTCATTTGAATCCGTTCAAAACGCTTACACACATCACAGTTTTACACATCCCAAGCTACATGATCGGTATCTAGTCTAAGTCCGTATTTATCATTTGACATAGGTATCACAGTTTATACACTAATTTGTTTCGTTAACACGGTCTTTTAGTTCACGCTCTTCACTGCATTTTGGACACGTAATTTTTTCTTTACATTCCTTACTAATCCTTACTTAGGTGACCGTATTTGCAACAATTAAAGCACCTTAAAATGCCATAGTCACTGTATACGGGACAACAGTTTCATCCGTACTTATCACCAAGTTTGTTTTGTATTTGGGACTGAATATGTTCAATCTTCTGTTGACCATTGCAATTCAAAATAATACCTCCTTCTTCTGTCGACCTACCCATCGAGAGGCCAATTTCCGTTGAATTTACCATGTTTTTTAAATCCTGTTTTACAATAGAAATATCATTTTGGGTTGATTTTTGCTTTAGTAGTAATATTTTGTTGTGGTTTTGGGAGACAGACGAATACATTTGTAATTGTTTCCTGACTTTTCATTCCCTTCAATTTTATTATTTCATCTCTTAGGCTATTGTTTTCGGTTAATAAATGGTCCACTCCACTTTAGTATTTAGTTCATTCGTAGTTTTTACTAATATTTCTAGCCTTGCGTTTATCGAATAATCTACCAAACTTGTCTCCACATAAAGATCTTCTGTACGGCTGCTTTTCCTTGGACATTCTTGTTTGTTTACATCGCTGCCTCGCCCCGAACCTCATCTAGTATTGGATTGCAAACCTTGCATTTCCAGCGGTTTTTTTTTCATATGGAACCCTCCAGGTCAATATTTTCACATTTCCCGCGGTAGCATTGACTGCAAACTACTGCATCACTGTTTTAATATCTTCGAAGAGTTCTTTATATGAAAAACACGTATTAATATCGGGACTGTTCACTGCATCAACTATAACATGATCCGCCATATTTCTTATAAACTCTTCTGTATCAGACGGTGAGTCAGTTGAAGGTAGAGATAAAGATGCTAATTTTTCTATTAATTCATCAATATCGGACATTGAAGAAATTACAAATTGCACATTGCCTTATATGAAAATTATTCCGTAGAGCAACATTTATAAGGCCAATACTTTCTGGTAGACTATGGTTTATCCTTCTAAATCAATCCTAGTCTACACGAGTATTGGCTATTTTGGTCCAATACTCCGATTGCTTGAAGGTGGTTCTTTGGTTTTCGATTTCGTAAAGCCACTCCGACACTTCTCAGCAAACACTTAATACGATTCGTAGGTGTAGATTCGAGTTCCCGTTTAGCCCGATTTCCGAAAAGTTCGTAAACCAATCCCAAAAACAAAAATCCGGACGACTGCGCCAGTTATCAATCCGTGAGCCGATGACGAGTTTTTAAAAAATAATTTATTCACTAATCTAATTTGCAATACAGTACTTTTGCGTTAAGCGTTACACAGGTTAAAAATAAGAATTATAATTATAATTCAACTGACTAACTATTCTAGTCGATATTTAGGTATATTATAGAAAAAAAATTGAGCAGATTATCTGTTTAGTCAGCAAATAGGGCTGACATTACTTAGGTACGTAGACAAAATCCATATCTTGGATTAGAGGCTGTGCCTCGTTTTGCAATTACCACTGAGAACCATTTTTAATTTTATTCAGGTTGACTGGTATGGAGTTTTAATTTAAATAAATAAATTGAAACAATAACATTAAGTATTCATCATAACAAGAATACTGGAAAATGGATTCTAAAAATAAGATTTCATAAATTGCACCTCGCCTAGAGAAGAGAAACTGCAAGAATTGCATATTCAGTTCTCACGGCTAAATTATAGTAGCAATTCCACTCGCGAATAATGACTAACATTTACGCCGACAAAGTTTAGGTAAATCATAGTCATCATTGTAAGCTTTGTTGAATAAGTACCTACTATTTTATTGGTATAATTATGTTATTACTTACAAAGTATAGTCTGGCAAGCGGTAAGTTGGTAGAGACGAAAGGGGGAAGAAAAGTAGGGCGTAACCGAAAAATATTCACTGACACCTCAACTGACACCACCTGATGACAGCCATGTTTTTCGGTTCAGTGGCACCGAAAACACCAAAGAAATAATCCAATAAAATTATAGGAAAAAAAATTCTTTAGTTTCGCCACTGCGTGCTGTCACTGCTGTCGTTCAGACTCTAACCAATAGAATTCATACCTCTGAATAATCACGCCTCTCGACATCCATCATTTCGCAATGTTGTCGGATTTTTTTCTATTTCAAAATACCACACATGCCCATATAGCAAAAAAAATATGTCACCAACTTGTTTATTATTTTTTCCGTCAAGTTTGGCTAAATAGCAAATTCTTTTGCAGTTCGCCGTTTCGCTAGCCAGACAATATGTATGTATGTTATATAGATTTCACGACTACAATGACCTCCAGACGCGTCTCATCACCACGGTCGTACAAAATATCGCAAGGTCTAGACGCACTTCAGCAAGTTATCCTGTCTGAACATGTCACGCCAAGAACTTTTCCATCGTCGCAACGTTCCCATAGAAACATCAAGATTAACACGTTTTAAAATATAAAAGACCCTGTCTCTTTAGTTAGCTCGTCATTATTCGTCATTATTAAGTTAGTTAAGTTAATGTCCAATATTATTGTGATAAAAAAAGTATTTTTTCTACAAACGTGTTAAAAATGCAATTTTTAACACTCCCCCGTACCATTAAAAATGTTACTTTATCGCACTAGTGCCATAAAGTCTTTATAGCACTAGTGTGAAAAATGAAACATCAAATTTCGAGTGGGAACGTCAAAAAAAGTTTGTATTTTTAGGTATTTACATTGATATTAATAGTGGAATTTGAACAACTGTGAGGTAGCCCGATTGGCCGCCTTATCTATATTTTTCAAGGGATCGATGCAACCATCTTTTTCTTCTGTATTTTATTGCATTTCTAGCAAAAAGCATTACTAACCACGACAGACTTTCAAGAATCTGACAAGACATTTCATTACCTGTGCTGGTTGTTTGGATTTTTTGACAAATGTCAAATTCAATAATTTTATGTAGGAAAGATGCTTCCAATTTATTATTCATTTAAAAATCCAATTTTTTACTGGTTATTGCTTTTTATTGCCGTTTGTAGAAAAAATATTGTATGATATTTGCATTAAAAGTATTTTCCTACGACTGCCTCTGAAAATGGAGTTTTTCGCACGCTAGGTAACCTCTGAAATTAGAGTTTTTCGCACAGCGTGCGAAAAAGTTTTTCACACGCATTTTAGCGTGCGAAAAAGTTTTTCACACGCTTCAAGTTTTCTAACAAATGGAAATTATATATTTGGTTGTTTTATTTTGCAGTTGTAGGAAAAGCATTGTAAAAAACTCGTTTGAAAACCTTTTTTCACACTTGCTCGACTTGTGGAACTCGCCTACGGCTCGGTCCAACAAACTGTCTCGCCCTGCGAAAAAAGTCGTTTTCAAAACTTGTTGTTTAAATAACTATTTTAAGGCACTTATGTGAATTGCAGAATTCGCTTCGCTTATTCTGCAAACTTTCACATGCGTGCCTTAAAAATGTACTTCTAACACTGATATCATAAATAACTATTAA